TTGACATTTTCACTTAGGGGTGTACTCTTTTGTGGCCAGCGGTTTAGACATTAATGGCTGTGTGTTGAGTTATTTTGAGGGGACAGCAAATTTACACTGTTATACAAGCTGAACACTCACTACTTTACATTGTAGCAAAGTGTCATTTCTTCAGTGTTGTCACATGAAAAGATATAATAAAATATTTACAAAAATGTGAGGGGTGTACTCACTTAACCTTTGGTTTTCTCATTGCCATATCAATTTGGCTACAGAGAAAGATTTCACAAAATCTTGTTGAAAACACAGCACTTCAAAATTCACAAGCATTTTAACCACAGACCTTACATGTACTCACACATCAGAAATCTGCTATTTCAAAAACCCAGAAATTTTTTTTTTAACCAACCCACAGCAAATTAGCTTTCCAAGTTGACATACAAATTGACGACATGACTGAACATTTTATAGAGTGTGACAGTCGGGTTCCAGAAATAAAAATCCATTCATTTTAGGGGATTTGATTTTGAACCATAACTTATAAACTGTTAAAGACAGACCTATTGTGAGCTACAAGGTTGTTAATCGATGGTGCATGCTCTTGTTGCAGCCATCAGAATTCCAGGAGAAAACACTACATTACACATGATCCTGCAAAGGAATCTCCACCAATGAGCAAACTGTACCCGTCCACTCCCATGAAGCATGTGTATGACTTGGACATAATATATATTTAAAAAATTGTTTTTAAAAATTATATATATATATATATATACACACACACACAGAGCTGGGTAGTAACTGATTACATGTAATCTGGATTACGTAATCAGATTCCAAAAATTAAGTACTTGTAATTAGATTAAATTACATTTTGTAATGAAGTGATTTAGCTCATAGCTGGTTTGGCTTGTAACATTTTTTTAAATCCCTATGTGGAAAAATACTTCCAGAACCAAGGTCACTTATTAAGCAGAAGGGTACTGTTGCACATAAGCGATATCATGGTTTTCATTGGTCTTTGAACAAACAAATGGGCTGAAAAAAATACATCCATGGTAACTTATATATATATATATATACAGTACCGCCGCTCCCTATATGCAGAGTACGCAGTTTGCGTAGGGCACCAACTCCCAGGGGGGCACCATCCCAGTTGCTTAAAAAAAAAAACTTCCATTCTATATTATTATTAACATAAACATACATAAATAAAAATATGAACACAAACATATATATAACAAAATTATAAAAAGTGCATTTTACGGTGAACGCAGTAGGCAGTAGGCTACGCACATGTGACACGCCATTCCCGCATATGCGCCCGCTCCGGCCCTAACCTCATGTTTCATGTTTCAGGTACGTTCATAATCTGGTGAAACTTTTTTGTCTGTTGACGTTAATAACATGTTTTAATGTCGGTAATAATTTCGCCGCCTCCAACGCATCTGCATCATTTTGGAATATTAAAAGTTTCCATATTCCCTTACGAAAATTAACCATGGTTTTACTACGAATAAAACCAAAAAACCATGGTTCTTGTAGCCATGGTAACCACAAATTAACCATGGTTTTGTTACTTCAAATAATAATTGACAAAGAAGTATTCAGATAGTCAAAATTAAATTAATTTGAGCGCGATTTAAACCCGGATGATTATAACCACTCTAAGTTCGTCTGCCTTGTGAAAACTAGCGCGTCTCCGACATAGTGATAACACTCGTTGCCTTCTCTAGTGCAGCTCAACCAGGTCTCGTCCCATTCGTCGGTATTTGTGATATCACAAATCCCGGAAAATATGTGTTGTAGTCCAAACGAGTCGTTCGTTGTAGTTTTTGAAAAGTGATTTCTGTTAAATAAAATATCTCCTGTTGAAGTGGACTTTGAGCTTTGTAACTTCACAGATCTTTTTTATGCTCAAACAGCAACATTACAGACTAACTAAAGTTGAAAAAGTGAAAAAGCATAATAGGACCCCTTTAAAACTATGTTTTATTACACTGACTACTCTTAATTTACTTATGTTTTTTTTAAACTAACAATAACTGTTTATTTAAAAGTGCACTCAGTAATTCTTAAGTGACTAATATCTTCTGCTTCATTTATGCAGGGTCAATACTGAAATTTGTTACAAAAGAGGATGAAGCATTTTTTTAATTCAATTTATTATTGTTTATTTTGATAATATTTAATATTTTAAAATGTTTTATTTAATATGTGTAATTTTAGTTCGTTTTTTTTTTTTTTGCTGTAGAGCTAATTGTAATTTGTAAATAATAAAATTTAATTACAATTTATTTATTTATTTAATACTTAATAATACTTTTATATTATATTAAAGTTCTATTTTGACCCCTATGGTAGTTGTTTTTTTCCCATAATATTTGGGGGAGGGGGCACAACAATACAATTCTGCTTAGGGCACCCATTTGGCCAGCAGCGGCCCTGTATGTATATATATATATATATATATATATATAGTCACTAGTTATTGTCACCTTGGGAACTTTAATCTACTGTTAAACTTAAGCTAGTTGTTATTAAAAGGGACATTAAAATTAGCTTCTTGCACCGTTTTAAGTTCTATAATTGGAAGTTATAGTAAGTCATTACGCAACTTCCTGTGTACCTGTGTCAGGTATGTGAGTTTACCTGCGGTAGCGCGGAATTAAGCTGCCTCTGAAGCACATCTCTCTCGTGAAGCACATCCTGGAGTTTGGTCTGCGACTGGATGAGGGTCTCCTGTGTCTCCCGTAAAGACTCCAGCAGCTTATCTCTCTCATCCAACATATTCACCATCAGCTGTTCAAAATTAGACTCGGCATCCGTGCCGTTCTGAGAGCCTCTCTGGGAACTCACCGAGTCCCCCTCATTTATGGTTGGCATCACTTCACACATCATATTGATCGGTGTTCTATGAAGTCTAAGTCAAATTAGAAATTGCTTTGATATTTTTTTTAATTCAGGTTTGAGGTGCACTACTAATACTTAGTGCCATTTAAATGCACATTAAACATGTCCATGTATTTTAAAATGCATATGCATCCTCTAATTCCTCTAACTGCATAGAGAAATCATGAATGAATGAATCCCTGTCTAGATTCATCACACACCTTGACCTCTCTGGTCCACGACTGTCGGCCTTTTCCGCTCTGACATTTTCCACCTAGTTTGACTTGGAACTCAATGCATTTCGCTGGACGCTCATTACGGCGTTCGCCACACGCATATTCCGATTTCAGCTGATTGAACCTCGGCGCCCTTCGCTTTAACATCCACCAGTTGCCATCAACCTTTCAGGAAACGGTGAAATTCGCGTCTGCCGCATCCTCCAGATCCCTCTGCCACCACCATCATCATCATCTCCCTGCACGGCGAGCCGAGCGAAGCGCTCCTCCCTCTACGAGCTCATTCCCGCTTGCAACACAGCGATTCCGCTATCTCCACAAACATTCGAGCATGTTTTAAAATATGAATGCACCGAAGCTCTGGTGAACGTGAAGGTTAAACGTCTCCCACGTCGTCGGCGAAAATCATTTCCACCCGGCGTGGCTCCGTACAGCTCGTGCAAACCGCGTAAAATCGGAGTTTCTCACATCAGCACCATGCGACTACATGACTGTCATGCACGAGACGCCAATGTGAGAAATTGTCACGCGCAGCGCCCTCTGTCGGCAGGCAGGTTCATAGGAATGACTAGGATCTATAATTAAGTTGTATATAAGCGTCTGCTAAATTACTAAATGTATATATATATATATATATACATAGAAGGGGTGCACATACGTTTTTCAGCCTGGTTCTCAAAAGAGCACCTCGAGATTTGGTTTGGTCCTCACACTGCACATAGTGTGACCCATTAAATATAACTATAAATAAATAAAATGAATAAAACAATGCTCAAAAATACAACAAAGCTAAATAACATTTAATAATAATAGAAATATGAGATTTCCTAATAATGAGATAATGCAGATGTGCTTTTTTGGGGACATAACACACACACACACACACACACGCACATATGGAAGTTCCTTGCAGCTATTTTCATGACCGAAAGAAAGCAAGAAAGAAAGAAAGAAAGAAAGAAAGAAAGAAGAGAAAAACAACTGAGAAAATAAAAATAAAACAATATTTTCTCAAATAAAAATAAAATATTGTTTTCTAATATTTCTGATTCCTTTATGTAAAATGAACCGTTTTTATTTTTGATCAAATATGCAACCTATACATTATGAAGAATATTTTAATGTATGAATCGAGAATACATCATCTAAAAGGATTCCATTCAAGCTCCACGCAAAAATGACTTTACTCGAGGTTCAATGTTCTTTTTATCGTTTAAATAGATTCTCCTGTATATTTATTTGTACAATTCTTGGTACTTTAAGACACTTTAAACAATACAAACGAAACAGCTGAGATGACGTCATGGTTTGTCGTTTTAAACGTAACCATTTTTTCTTTGAACCCTAGGGTTATGAATATACACCGTCTAATTGGACGAATCTTCTCACATATGATTTCTGCGTCCAATTAGCGTCCAGTCTGGGGAGTCGTTCGCTTTCTGAGATCTCGCGAGAATGTACGCGACCTTGAGCGTCAGTTCATGATGGCTGAAGATCCTGGAGGAGCTTTCCCTAATTTCACCCTCATTTTTATCGGGTTTTCGTTACCTCTGCTGGGAAGATGGCAGGGCACACAGCCTCGATAAACGGCCAGAGACCCCCGCTGTTGTCATGCCCAAGAAAGGGAACCGAAAACGGCTGAAATTTAGAGCCGAGGATGTTTGCTCGGAGTCAGGTAATGATAGAGCGAGGCGGGCTGATGTTATGATGCGTGTTGCGTATAATAGTCAAAGTCCATTCTTATGTTAACTTAATTTCTTGTGTTCCTTCATATTTTCTTACAGTAACTGTGGCTGACTATGCCAACGCCGATCCCGCCATCGTGAAGTCGGGAAGAGTTAAAAAGGCTGTTGTTAATGCAATTGAAAAAGAAGGTAAAATCAGAAATATCTATACAAGCCTATTCCCGCCACATAAGAACGAAAAAACATGCTTTGGTAAATAATAATGATGCCACAGAATCATAATTATGAGTTTTCATGTCATAATTTGTTTGAGGCCCTGAATTAGACTGCAGATGTGCACTCCTGCTCCTGGAGCTCCTCAGTTTATTTCACCCCTTATACCCCTGCCTGTACTTTACAATGACCCCAACACCTTTAATTAGCTTAATTGGCTGATTCAGGTGTGTTTGATTAAAACATAAATCTCCAAAAGCAGTCTGCAATCTGAACTGCCTTGGGTCAGGACTATTAAGAAGATGCTCTTGTCCAGTATTTTGGGGATAATTTAGTAGTAAAACATTTGACACTTCAAAATCAAAAAGTACCCTGATCTTAATTCTGTTTCAGTGAAATTACTCCGTGGACTCGAGGCATCCCACGGTCCCGTGCAGGAAGTGCTCTCCTCTGCAGTTGGTGTGAGTAATGCAGCCCTTGAGAGCAGTGATGAACTGGACTCAGAGGAAGGGGATGAAATCAAAGGGTCCCGCAAAAAGAAAAACAAAAGACGCAAAGGTAACTGCAGAGTGTTTTGTCCAGTGAGTTTTAAAACTGGGGTTCATGAAGGAACTGAAGGAAAATTAAATTGAAATGTAAAATTTCACTTACTAAAAAGATTATAGGCCTATATTATTTGTTTACCTGCATGCCATTTGATCATTTACCATCATCAGTGAATAAGCTAATGTCTCAGTCTAAATAATCATAATCTTAATGGGTCTTTCAAGTAAATATTTTAGGTCAAAGGGTTCTGGCTGACAAAAAAATGTGGGAATCCCTGTTCTGATGTATTCCGATATTATTTGTTTTCTTGAGTTTGTTGAGATTTTAAGTAACTCCTCTCATTATGAATGTTAGAAAACAGTGGGAGCATAGATGGAGAGGAGTATCCCATTGATATTTGGCTTCTGCTTGCTGCATACATTCGGCCAGAAGACGTCTGCAGATTTTCTTTGATCTGCAAGAATGCTTGGACAGCCACGTGCACGGCTGCATTTTGGACACGACTCTACAAAAGGTAGGCAGCCAAAAAGTAGTATTAAAAGATGTTTTGCGGGGCCTCTTATAACACTTTAACAAAGACTGAATGGGGAAAAATGCTTCCAGAGCCAAGGCTGCTGAAAAACTGGGCAGCACTGTTGCACTTTATTGGAGTTTTCTGCGTTCCCCATCCAGGGCATTTATACATGACACTATTCCTCTTGATGTTTTTTTTACCTTTCCCCAGGCACTATAACCTTGATGCAGACCTCCCCGATCGCCTTCAACCTGATTCTATTGTAAAGATGCATTGTCTTCGTGCCCATGTGATTCGCTCGCTTTTTCACTTATATGAGCCCTTTAGCTTGCGGGTGTCCAAAAGCCCTCCTCTCCCTGAATCTACGCCTACAACACTCCTCAATTCCAAGGTGTGTAGACGTACTTTCATTTTTAAACCCATTTAATCTGAGGATTTTTGTGTTGATGCCTTTCTTGTTCCCACAGTGTTTGTTGTTTTGGGTCAACAAAGTGTCTGGAAGTAGGTCAGAGCCGATGTGGGAATTCAACTTCAAGTTTGTGAAACTGGTATGTTTGCTACATTGTTATAAAGGTAGAATATGAGATTATTCCATTGTTTTAATTTTGTCGGCTATTCTTTTCTAGCCAACCAAGGGCAAAAATGGATGCAGTTTGAGTCTTCAGCTGCCCAGGCAGTATAAAGATGTTCACACTAATCCAGACTCGGACTGTTATCTGCTGCGAGTCACTACCCTCAATTTTATTTTCACTTCTGTTGTGATGGGCATGACATTAACTTTGGTGAGTGATGTGAATGCGTTTCAAATAATATTGTTAACGTTGTTGAATTACAGGAGGATAATATGCATAATATCATCTCTGGATCTCTAATCATCACGTCATTAAGGCTGGAATACACTACATGACTTTTGACAATTTTTGTCCTGATTTTCAGTCTGGAAGAGTTTATGGTAGTTGCCAAGGTGGAGTCTGCAGATTTCTGATAATATCACATAGTGTATAATGGGCACAGGCTTACCTTCTCGTTTGTTTCTAAATCTTCAGTTTTTGATTTGAGTTTTTGAGGATATGAAGTAAGTTTGATACTGAACTGATCTTGCAACGTATTTATTTTTTCATCTCGCAACGAGGAGTGTGAGTTTAGAACAACTTGTCAGAACAACTTTAAAGTCTGAGAGTGTGTGATCCTCAATTGTTTAGTTTGATGCCCAGTTTTTTTCTCTGTAACCATTTACAAAGTCAACAAATGTATGATGCCTAGTGTTTGAAGTTCTGTTCAGACTTTAAAAGTTGTGTAGTGTATTCCAGACTTCAGTAAGTTACTCCTTTTTGAGCTTGATGGCACTTGAAATTTGTAGTGCTAAATCTGTAGCCTCAGGAACTTCAGCATTGTACTCTTTTTAGAAAGTGGAAGTCAGATCTGATGATGCTTAGCGGTCTAGACCCAGCTGAATTTTCCACATTCCTTTGTGATGAATGGTTTACTTATAGTGAAAATGCAAGTCATGCTGATGTCATAAATGACAATGAATCATTCGCTCCTTGTCTTTCAGTTTACCATTAATGTGAGCACAGACATGAGGCACCACCGAGTGCGCCTGGAGTTCCAGGATTCACCAGTCATTCGAGGGAAGAAGCTTAGGGGTGAACAGGGGGTGCAGGTAGTGCTGGACCCTGTCCACAACGTACGCCTCATGGACTGGTGGCACCCTCAGTACCCCACATCCTCATATAATTAGACTAATGAACTCCAAACTTGTCAATTACAAAAATATTGCAGAAGACAATTCAGGCCTGTTTCGACCAACCCTAAAGTCCTGGCTTGGTAGTCAGTTTTTCTGTTGAATTTTACACTTTGTACTTCGTGTGCTGCTTTTATGGACACTTTAGTTTTGATTTGTAGTCCAAACTCAAGGTCTCAAGACAATGTATGTGGCAGTTGACTTTAATAGTCTGGGTAGCTGCCATATTTAATTTGATTGGTTTCACGATAGAAGTACAGAAGATAGAAGTCGATTCAATATGTCATGCTACCATTTTTAACCTATGTTTTATTGGAGATGTTTTTTTTCTTCCACTGAAAATTGTGGATTTTTTTTTCTCCACTTGATCAAATTCCAAGTACACAGCAGTACAACCCTCTGAACAGACTGCTTGCCGCCCTCAGTTTTTAAGGCAAAAATCTGTTCACATTAAATATGGCATCTACATCAGTATATGGTAATGGTATGCTTTTCTTGCCCATTGAGAGTGGTTTAGAAAATTCATCATCAGGTTATATAACACTTGTATAGTAGGGTTTGCATGCCTCTAATCTTGAATCATATGTCATTTAATAATTAGTTGTTGTTTTTTCTTCAATAGCATTCTCAAGATTCACCTTAATTCTTTAGATTTCTCATTCTGTCTCTCTGCAAATTTATAAATCGGTAAACTAAATGAGCATTCTAGCATTCTCAAGATTCATCAATAGCATTCTCAAGATTCACCTTAATTCTTTAGATTTCTCATTCTGTCTCTCTGCAAATTTATAAATCGGTAAACTAAATGAGCATTCAATCTATAAAAAAAAATAATAATTCCAGTATTAAAAAACAAAAGACCTATTAAGGCAAGTCAACTCTGGAGAGGTATAGTGTAACCCATTTTGAAAACCCTTTAGCCTGGTGTTAGATTTAGGGGCAAAAAGCTAAGATTTTATGTATTCAGTGCTTTCTGTGGGGATATTCTGAGTTCAGCTTTACTACTGTGCATGCTTGCCTAGTTAAATCGTGTCTAATTGACTGCATTGGCGAGGGAGTTTCTACGTGTTGTAGATAAGTGTCTTTAGTTAAGTGAGTGTTATTGTTTGTGATCAAGAGGAGTTATTAAATCTGTAGATAAAACCAAAGTTAAAATTTATTTCCTTATTACTATCAAATCCAGAAGTTGTGTTTTGTGTGTGAAGTAAATTGTGTTTCTTTTTCATTTAGAGCTTGTGTTTTGTTTTAGACTGGAAAATGAAGGCACTGATGTTTCAAACTATTAAATAAGACTACGCCATAATCAGTGTGTTTTGTGTTTCTGTCCTGCATGGGAAAGAATGGGATCAATACTGACACCCTGTGGGCCAATCTGAAACAACTTCTGAACTAACAACTTCATGTAGCTTGTCTTTCATTGTAATGCCACTGGATTTATCATTGAGTTACACACACATATGATTATACTTACTGGAATGCATATGGACATAAAACAAATAGTGAATACTGTGACCAATCAGAAAGATGTGTTCAAGAGATCTGTGTGATTGAGATAATATACAGTCAACTGCTCTGCTTGTGCTTTCCACCCTGTGAAGATATATTTTGCAATATCAACCGACTGACTGTACATTATCCCTTAATTTGGGAAATATAATATCTGTACAATTATAATACAAACATTTTATCTTAATCTAGTTAAAGTTATGATATTGTAAGTAATTTTAATGTATTTATTTAATTGTAATTGCTAGTTATGGTAGCCCGATGAACTTTAAGTAGGAAAAAGATGAAATTTGGCACACAACATTTTCCAATTGCTAAGCACCGACGAGTTTGTAGTAAAATAAAATAATAATTCATGCAGAATTTTGTTTATATATGTTAGTGCATTACTATACAAGTGTTTACTTTAATATAAAATAATATAATATAAAAAAGTATAATTTTTACTAGAATTGTTTTTTAAGATATGAAAAAAGTAGTAATATTCCAACTAGAATTTTCTTTTTTAAATGATTGATTAAAGGGGTGGTTCATTGCGATTTCACTTTTTTAATGTTAGTTAGTGTGTAATGTTGCTGTTTGAGCATAAACAATATCTGCAAAGTTATGAAGCTGAAAGTTCAATGCAAACGGAGATATCATCTTTTAAAATTATGGCAGTTTAATGCCTACAAAAACGGCTGGTATGGACTACAACAAGTTACTTCCCGGGTTCGTGACCTAACAAACCCAGATAAACCCCTCCCTCGGGAAAAGGCAGCAAAGGGGGAGAGGCCATGCGCTGCTTTAGAGAAGAGGAAGAGAAAACTAGAGGTGCAAGTAAAAATCTATTCACTATTCATGATCTATTCACTAACGATTCTAATGGATTCACACGTTTCAAAATCAATGTTCTAAAGCAGCGGTTCTTAATACTGTTCCTTGCATCTCCCTGCTCCGCACACGCTCTGCATTTCTCTCTCTCATTCAGCTCAGCTCCAACAATGAACTGTTACAATTATACACTTATTTTCACATAGCTATGAGAAGCGTTAAACATGGACGCGCGTGCAGTTGCCGTAATGTATTATATTATTATATTAAGCTTTAATCAGGATAAAACCGTATATTAAAAGCTAACAGAAGCAGTAGCATTTACAAGCTGCTGAGGTGAGGGGCGGGACGATTAGACTCACACTAGAGGCGGTTTAGCGAATCACAACACACTGGGCCAGCTAACCAATCTGAGCCCATCACGTATTTCTGAGGGAGGGACTTCATAAAAAAAGTAATAGAGAAGGGACAGCTGTAGAGCGGTGTGGAATAAAGGTAAATTATGTGAAAAATAATGTGTTTAAAAAAAAAAAAAAAAGCATTAACATATGTTAGACTGCACCCCATAAACACAATCAAGCCAAGAAAAAAAACAGTGAACCACCCCTTTAACGTTTACATTTAAGCTGAACTACATTTCCCACAATGCTCTGTGAGCGCTGCGATTGGTGGCTGCGGCTGTCACAAGAGCCTACAGGTGACTGGTGTACAGCGCTGTCACATCACACAGCGCAGTCAGAAAACGATTCGTACATCACTCAGGGGAGTGAGTTCTGCTGAAATTATCGAGAAGTTGTTAACGGTGCTCTTTTGCAGTTTCGCTTCCATACGAATGCAGAGGGAACTGATACCAGGTTATGTTTGACAGCACAATTATCGCTCCTTTCCAAAAACTACGTCCCAACTTTGTACTTTCTGACCTTCAGCGGGTAAGTGATACAGCCCATTGCGCTCCGCTCTTGTGTCTAAATAAGTCTGCCTCTGCTTGAGTTGCATTCATTTCCAGCTTATTCCATAGCGACAGTATTTACATGCATAGTTTACATGTTAACAAAAAACAGAACCCCAGTTGGTGCGTATGCTTTTCCTTTTTTGAAAGTCATTGAATTTGGTTGGAGGGATAAGTGACTCAAACTGTAAAATGATAAACTCAGTTATGCTTTAAATGACTATGTCTTTGCTTCCTGACGTCTTTGAGATTAAATATTATTATATAAATTAATATAATATTGAATTAAATGCTGTTCACGAAGTCAGGTTATAAATATTTTGACGTAAACGTTTGGTTATTTCAAGTTGTGCTTTTATTGTTGGCGCACAGCCATATATACTGCTGTTTGACTGATACCTGATATGCATAAACTCTAAATATGTATAAACAACGTTGGCGATATGTCTTATGTAATGCGAACAGCGCAACGCAAGCCTTCACATATGTGTCCCCTATTAAAGTGTAAGCTATTTACACAATGTACAAATATAGCGCGCAAGTTATTTATATGAAGCATAAGTAAGGCCTTCAAATACACTTCCTAGTCTAACTGAGACCTTGACAACTTCAGTATAGTTATGTATACAGTTCTGTATTAAAGAGCACATCAAACCATATTTTCCGAATAACCTCCATAGTGTCATTAAGCTTATGAATGCAAGTATATATATATATATATATATGTGTGTGTGTGTGTGTGTGTGCGCGCGCGTTTTTGTGACATATGAGGACACAAATTTGTATAATGACATGGGTATGACATAGGTATAACAAGGAGATGGTGACTTATGAGGACATTATCCCATGTCCCCATTTTTCAAAACGCTTATAAATCATACAGAGTGAGTTTTTTTTTTTTTTGAGAAAGTAAAAATGCACAAAGTTGCCTGTAAGGGTAGGTTTAGGTGTAGGGCAATAGCACATACAGTTTGTACAGTATAAAAACAATTATGCCTATGGAATGTCCCAACAATTCACAAAAACAAACATGTGTGTGTGTGTGTGTGTGTGTGTGTGTATAGTGCATGTAATTTGTCGGTTTTAATTTCAGTTGATATAATAATTACTTTGTAGTGAACAGTCATTAATTATATAATAATTATAATAATAATACTCACTGTTCTCACTATAATACTGACCACAGTGCTGATGATCTTTTTGAGAGTCTAGCTAGGTGCATTTAAGATAGCATTGGTTTAGTTTATTCAAGTATCAGATAACCCATACAATAAAAACCGGTACGTGGTTCCAGTATAATCCTGTATATAATCCTGTAAATCCTGTATTTAGTCGAGTGAAGAAGTGAACAATGTATGAAGGTTTTTGGCTGAATAAAACTGATAGTATCAAGTAAATCTCTTGTTTGATTGTTGTGGCGTGTCTTTTCCCTCTGCCATCCAAGTACACAAACCTCTACTAAGGAAAATGAGAAACGTTTAATTAATGAGGCTGTAAGAAATGGAAATACATTTGTGACCCTGGACCACAAAACCATTCTTAAGTCGCTGGGGTATATTTGTAGAAATAGCCAAAAATACATTGTATGGGTCAAAATTATCGATTTTTCTTTTATGCCAAAAATCATTAGGATATTAAGTAAAGATCATGTTCCATGAATATATTTTGTAAATTTCCTACTGTAAATATATTAAAACTTAATTTTTGATTAGTAATATGCATTGCTAAGAACTTCATTTGGACAACTTTGAAGGCGATTTTCTCAATATTTAGATTTTTTTGGACCCTCAGATTCCAGATTTAAAAACAGATCAAATAGTTGTATCTCGGCCAAATATTGTCCTATCCTAACAAACCATACATCAATGGAAAGCTTATTTATACTTTCATATGATGTATAAATCTCAATTTCGAAAAATTTACCCTTATGACTGGTTTTGTGGTCCAGGGTCACATTTTGTTAGAGTCATTCAGCGAATGCAATATTGAAATACATCTTTTCAGAAACCTTACTTTTCTTGGTGCAAGGTTTGCAGTCTGCTCTACTGGTATTTGCCCTAAGCTCCAAGCACCCATTGAAGCAGGCAGTCTGTGGCGGGGCAGCACCTTATTGACTGGGGACTGCCCAGCTTAGGCAGGTGGTAGCTGACCAGTGGGACTACGATGATCCCTCCTACCGTCAGAGGCTGCCCGCAGCACCCGAGTTTACGCCAATCACTCTAGGCTTATAACTCGTAACTACTACCTCTCGTGTTGGTTCTGTTGCTGTTAGCAGCGGCACTGGAGTGACCTCTCCAGGGTGCAAGCCTGGGCAAGAGTGCAAGAGGATCCTGAAAGAGGATCCTGAGATGCCCAAACTTCAGAACCCCCCTCTCTGCCTCACTGATGTAGTCCAAAGGAGAGCAGAGCAATACGTTTGGCACAAGC